AAGGGGTTCGCGGCGTGGCCACCCCCCCCCGGGGGGGGGGGTGATTTCTCACTTTCTGCCTCTCTGGCTCTCTCTCTCTCTCTCTCTCTTTCCAGTTAGCGCACATGCCCTATAGCAAACATCTCTTTGAAAAAAAAAAAAAAAGACACACACAGGGTGGTCTCCAGAGTAACCTACTACGTAGCAAACAAAGCTACACCCCGTGGGCTCAGCAGTGCCCTCCCGCAAGAGGTCCATCATGGTAACCCCCCAAACCTGTGCCCGGGGTGAGGACCGAGAATGCTCAGAGCAGCAGGAGGGACACTCAGTCCCGGTTACTTTGTATTCTTATCTCCTCGGGTCCTGGGATAATGCAGACGCATCCCCATCTCACAGAAGTGGACACAAGCTCTCAGAGGTGAGTCTGGCTGAGACCGTAGGAGGCTACCTTGTGGGGTTCAAAAACTCAGTGACAGGCCCAGCCCGGTGGCACAATCCATAGCGTGCTAAACTGCAGTGCTGGAAGCCACATGGCTGACCATGGGTTCAGATCCCAGGTCAGTCTGGAAACATGCACTTGTGCCCAAGGTCCTGACCATGGAGGGGATTGCAGAGGGATGAGATGCCGGTCCGGGGGGCTCCCTCATGCCCGTGGATGTGCCATGCTCATTGACTATAAAAATAAATTTTAAAGACCCAGCAACACACTGGGATGCTGGAGCCATCTGGGAAGGTTCCAGGTTCATGACCTGAGGTCTCGCATACATGCCCTACCCTGGCACCTGTGAGCCAGGCTGGGGGTGGCCACCCCAGGTCTTCACAACCTGAAGACCCTATTAGTGGTCTGTCTGTCTCTCTTTCTGAAGAAATAAAGTTGGGAAGAAAAAATCAGCAGGCACTGGGACATACTGCCACGGCAGGAACTGGGACATAATGCCACGGGGTTGGAGTTGAAAATGTGGGTACTCACTGCAGCGTCTATGCATCCCCCAATTCGAATCTCGGCCTTTCTCCTTAGCAAGCTACACGACTTCAAGTGAGATGCTTTACCCGTCTGGGTCCCAGTTTACCGGGCTGCAAAATGGGGGTGTTTATTCCAACAGACGCATGCTAATGATTACGTGAAAGGCTCAGTCATTGATTCATGGTGTCTGGCAGCTTCTCTAAGCCTCAGTTTCCCCAGCTGTAAAGGGAAGGCAAGAATTCCGAATCCTACTCCTATTCTTAAGGTTGTCTTTGAACTTCAGAATAAAAAATAAATAAATAAATAAGGAAAGGGTTTGAAATCCATTGCCACTTGCAGCGCTCCACACCTAGCGCACCACGCCAAGCGCACCACGCGCAATCTCCCAATAACGTGAGGAACCAGCGCCCCCTGCCGACTGCGCGACGGCATCACTGTCTCCGCGATCCGCCAGAACTGCGCCTGCGCAGAATACAAGCACTCAGACCCACCCCTTGGGGGCGTGACTTCCTTGAGTGGCTCTGACTTGATCACGCCCACTTCCGGATAAGGCGGGTCTAGGCCTGGTCCACGTGACTTCGTTCCGGCTCGTCAAAGATGGCGGCGCCCAGAGCGGCAGCGTGAGAGCTGGGGAAAGACGCTGTCTGGTGGCGGTAGAATTACAGCAGTGGGGATCCGGCGCCATGTCGCGACTGATCGTGAAGAACCTCCCGAATGGGGTGAGTGCGGAGCGTGGGTTCGGGAACCTGAAACGGCCGGGAGCGTGGGCGTGGGGAGGAGCCGGCTGGAGAAGGTAGAGGGGTTTTGCGCTGGGGCTGCGCCCCGGGATGTGGGAACCCGAGAGGGCAGCCCCGGGGTTTATCCGGGGTTTATCCGGGTCTGTGGGCGGGGACGGAGTAACAGTAACGGCTCCAGGTTCAGAGCCGGCGGGCGGGTGCCTAACGCCCCGACAGCGCCCTCCCTGCCGCCGGGTGCTCCCCACGCTCTCACAGTGTGTCTCGTTTTTGTTTGTTGGTGGGTGTTTGTTTGTTTTGGTTGTTGTTGACTTGGTCAGACGCTTTATTTACATTCCTGTTCCACTTGAGAGACTGTCGGCGAGATAGTTGGGGATTGCTACTCAGGACCTGAGTTCCAGTTCGCACTGCCATGTTCACGGCAGGTGTAAACCGTTTACCAAGTGGGGGGAGAGGGACTCTGCTACACTTTTCTGTCTCCATAGACCCCACCAGTACAGAACCTGGCCTGTGGTAGGCATTTAATAAAAATATGTCGGGGCTGGCAGGTGACATGGTGGTTGAAGTGCTGGATTTCCACATGGATGACTCTGGTTCGAGTCCCGGACCTGGCGGCTTGCTTCCCCTCTCTCTCCACCCCCTGTCTCTCTGGTCAGATTATAATAATCATCATCAGAAGAAGAATTACATAACATAATTATTTTAAAAATGCGAGATAAACGAGTGAAGAAATAGATGAATGTACGTGGAGACTTTTATAAACTCCTCCCCGCCGAATTAAAAAAGTAATAATAATTAAATAATTCTTTTTTTAAAAAGCCAGATAAATGAGTGAAGAAATAGCTGAATATATAAGGAGACTTTTAAAAAGTAATGAAAACAATGAAATTAAAGTACAAGTTGTTTTTTGGTGCACAAATCTACGCATAGTTTTTTTCATCATACCTATTTTCTGTGAACTTTTTGAAGACCCCGTTGGGTTTCATTGTGCTTCTCATTGTGGCAGACTCTCTTACTGGTGGTGGTCTTATTTGATGAGTGATAAAAACAATAACAAAAGCAATAATAATAATAGTAATATTAGCTAACAAGATGAGAGTTTATGTGCCAGGCACTATTCCAGGTGCTTTAGGTAAAGTAATTTAATCCTTACCATAAACCTAGGGGTAGATTCCATCATCATACCCAATATTTTTTTAAGAGAGTTTTATTACACGGCGTGTGCAATTTCTAGAGACACAGAGACGGAGAAAGTAAGAAATCATCCCCCAGAAGGGATGGCAATGGTTCAGTCTCTTCTCCTCCATTCTCCTCTTGGGATTTTGGACACGCACACACAGGTGCCTTGTATGAGTTTCAACCTCTGGGTCCAGGGCTAGAACTGTGGTCAACCATGTGGGAGTCCAGTGCCATAACCATTACACCATCTGCTGGTCCCCATTATATCCATTCTAAAGGTAAATAAACTAAGTTGCAGCAAGGTGAAGTGACTTACCTGAGGTCACGCACAGGTGATAATGATAAGTGTGGGGACTGAATTGAGCAATGTGGTTCTAGAATTTCCTCCCAGGACATCACACGGTCTTCTTCAACCTGACCTTAATGATCTTCCAACAAATAAACAGCAGTGGACACTTACAATGTTGCTGGCATGACAAACTGAAGATGCGGTCCCCGTTTTATGGACATTGCAGGCTCTTGGAGAAGATACCGGGTTATTAGGACCCAAGGTGCAGGGAGTGAAGTTTGAAGTGGGTGCCGTGGGACCACACAGAGGGGGGGTATGACCTCACCTATCTGAGAATCTAGGAAGGGCATCGTGGTGAGGAAGAGGTGATTGCACTGAGAATGAAGAGCAGTTAGCCCATGCTTTTCTGGAAAGATTTCCCTAGAGAGAACAACCGAATTCAAACCTCAGGGGAAGAGTGAGAAGCACCCACCCGAGGGGGTAAGGAGGCTCCGAGGAGCGTGGCAGGAGATGGTACTGAAGAGATGGGTCAGTGCTAGATTGTCGAGAATCTTGTGTTTACTTTTGGTGCCTGTCTAGCCTTGTGCCTTTGGTCCTAGAAGGTCATTAGGAGCTTTTTGGTAGGATAGTAGAGTCAGACTTGAATGATCTCTCTCCTGGGCAGTGGGGGCATGGATTCACAGGCTTTTTCACATAGGAGCAGAGTTACAAATGACTGTAGATTTTGGACATATCATTTCTCCCACAAGCTCCATTTTCTCCTCTGTGTTAACATAAAGATAAAAATTCCTAAGTTGGGGGTTGGATGGTGGCAAGGCAGTGACACAGCTCCCACGAGTCTGTTCCAAATTCATGTCTAGATACCTCCATGAACACACCAAGCACACATGTGTTCATGATCTGTGTTTCTTTTTTGTTTTGTTTTGTTTTGTTTTTTTGGAGAGGTTTTTTTTTTGCCACAGGGCACGTGCGCTGGCCAGAAAGACAGAGAGACAGACAGAAAGCGAGAAATCACCCCGCAGGGGGGATGATCACACTGCAATCCCTTCTCCTCCATTCTCCTCCTTGAGCACACACACACATGGTCCCTGTGTGAGTTTAAGTCACCGGGTCCAGGACTCGAACCGCGGGTGGGGGGAGAGGGACTCTGCTACACTTTTCTGTCTCCATAGACCCCACCAGTACAGAACCTGGCCTGTGGTAGGCATTTAATAAAAATATGTCGGGGCTGGCAGGTGACATGGTGGTTGAAGTGCTGGATTTCCACATGGATGACTCTGGTTCGAGTCCCGGACCTGGCGGCTTGCTTCCCCTCTCTCTCCACCCCCTGTCTCTCTGGTCAGATTATAATAATCATCATCAGAAGAAGAATTACATAACATAATTATTTTAAAAATGCGAGATAAACGAGTGAAGAAATAGATGAATGTACGTGGAGACTTTTATAAACTCCTCCCCGCCGAATTAAAAAAGTAATAATAATTAAATAATTCTTTTTTTAAAAAGCCAGATAAATGAGTGAAGAAATAGCTGAATATATAAGGAGACTTTTAAAAAGTAATGAAAACAATGAAATTAAAGTACAAGTTGTTTTTTGGTGCACAAATCTACGCATAGTTTTTTTCATCATACCTATTTTCTGTGAACTTTTTGAAGACCCCGTTGGGTTTCATTGTGCTTCTCATTGTGGCAGACTCTCTTACTGGTGGTGGTCTTATTTGATGAGTGATAAAAACAATAACAAAAGCAATAATAATAATAGTAATATTAGCTAACAAGATGAGAGTTTATGTGCCAGGCACTATTCCAGGTGCTTTAGGTAAAGTAATTTAATCCTTACCATAAACCTAGGGGTAGATTCCATCATCATACCCAATATTTTTTTAAGAGAGTTTTATTACACGGCGTGTGCAATTTCTAGAGACACAGAGACGGAGAAAGTAAGAAATCATCCCCCAGAAGGGATGGCAATGGTTCAGTCTCTTCTCCTCCATTCTCCTCTTGGGATTTTGGACACGCACACACAGGTGCCTTGTATGAGTTTCAACCTCTGGGTCCAGGGCTAGAACTGTGGTCAACCATGTGGGAGTCCAGTGCCATAACCATTACACCATCTGCTGGTCCCCATTATATCCATTCTAAAGGTAAATAAACTAAGTTGCAGCAAGGTGAAGTGACTTACCTGAGGTCACGCACAGGTGATAATGATAAGTGTGGGGACTGAATTGAGCAATGTGGTTCTAGAATTTCCTCCCAGGACATCACACGGTCTTCTTCAACCTGACCTTAATGATCTTCCAACAAATAAACAGCAGTGGACACTTACAATGTTGCTGGCATGACAAACTGAAGATGCGGTCCCCGTTTTATGGACATTGCAGGCTCTTGGAGAAGATACCGGGTTATTAGGACCCAAGGTGCAGGGAGTGAAGTTTGAAGTGGGTGCCGTGGGACCACACAGAGGGGGGGTATGACCTCACCTATCTGAGAATCTAGGAAGGGCATCGTGGTGAGGAAGAGGTGATTGCACTGAGAATGAAGAGCAGTTAGCCCATGCTTTTCTGGAAAGATTTCCCTAGAGAGAACAACCGAATTCAAACCTCAGGGGAAGAGTGAGAAGCACCCACCCGAGGGGGTAAGGAGGCTCCGAGGAGCGTGGCAGGAGATGGTACTGAAGAGATGGGTCAGTGCTAGATTGTCGAGAATCTTGTGTTTACTTTTGGTGCCTGTCTAGCCTTGTGCCTTTGGTCCTAGAAGGTCATTAGGAGCTTTTTGGTAGGATAGTAGAGTCAGACTTGAATGATCTCTCTCCTGGGCAGTGGGGGCATGGATTCACAGGCTTTTTCACATAGGAGCAGAGTTACAAATGACTGTAGATTTTGGACATATCATTTCTCCCACAAGCTCCATTTTCTCCTCTGTGTTAACATAAAGATAAAAATTCCTAAGTTGGGGGTTGGATGGTGGCAAGGCAGTGACACAGCTCCCACGAGTCTGTTCCAAATTCATGTCTAGATACCTCCATGAACACACCAAGCACACATGTGTTCATGATCTGTGTTTCTTTTTTGTTTTGTTTTGTTTTGTTTTTTTGGAGAGGTTTTTTTTTTGCCACAGGGCACGTGCGCTGGCCAGAAAGACAGAGAGACAGACAGAAAGCGAGAAATCACCCCGCAGGGGGGATGATCACACTGCAATCCCTTCTCCTCCATTCTCCTCCTTGAGCACACACACACATGGTCCCTGTGTGAGTTTAAGTCACCGGGTCCAGGACTCGAACCGCGGTCGACTACATGGGAGTCCAGCGACGTAGCCATTACACTAATTGCTGGTCCCATCATGATCTGTGTTGATTGAGGTTGAGGGTGGATTGTGGCATCAAGAGAACCTTTGAGGGGCTGCCCCCCCACTCACTCACAGAAGAAAGAAAGAAAGAAACTTTAAAAGTCCTAAATCATGCAATTACTGTGAGGTTTAGATGGGAGTTAAGAAGCTGCTTAACTTCAGGAAACGTCTTCTTCCTCCTGACTGCCAAGGAAGGCCTCTAGCTTCTCGAACTCTCAAAGTCATTTTGGCTGTTGTGGGGCCCTGAGTGCCTCTCCATCCCAACAGCACATACACAGATCTCCTAATACCTGCTTAGAAAACTCACTGAGTGGTGAGGGTTAGCCTGGCTGAGGGTGATGGGGAGCCACCTGGTGTGGGGCTTCTTGACCAGATTGTCATAATATTACCATGTTAGTTTCATGTTGTTACTGTAACAGGTTATCTCAAACTAATAGCTAAAACAAGTACATACAAATTTGTTACAGTTTACTTCTTGACCAGATTGGTACAATAGTAACTTGTTAATTTCCATTGCTACTGTAACAGGTTATTGTAAACTAGTAGCTGAAACAGTTTCCAGTTGTTACAGTTGACTTCTTGAGCAGATTGGCATAGTATTAGCATGTTAGTTTCCTATTGCTAGTGTAACAATGTACTACAAGCTTAGTAGCTGAAACAAGTAAATACAAATTTATTGTTATAATTTGGGAGGTCAGAAATCCTAAAGTCAAGGTCTTGGCAGCCTGCAGTCCTTCTGGAGGCCTGAGAGGAGAGTATGTTCCTTTGCTTTTTTGGGGCTCTAAAAGCCACCTGCCCTCCTTGGCTCGCAGCCGCACCCTCTGCTGCACCTTCCATCTTCATAGCCGACTGCAGGACGTCTTCCTTATCCGCTTCCTTCATCACCCCTCCTGCCTCTCCTGCCTCATCTTATAAGGACTCTAGCGGTGATATTGGAGCCTCCTGGATAATCCAGAATAATCTTCATCTCAAAATTCTTTACTTATGGAGGCAGCAGATAATGTAGCAGTTATGTCACTGGACTCCCATATGGCTGACAGTGGTTCGAGTCCCAGACCTGGCAGCTTCAAATTCATGCTGGGTGCGTGTGTGTGCGTTCCCAAGATCCCAGGAGGAGAAAGGATTATGGTGTGGCCATCGCCCTACAAGGGGTGATTTCTCACTTTCCCTCTCACTGTCTCCATTTCCCTCCCTCTCAAGCAAGCCCATGCACCTAAGCAGAAACCTCTTTAAAAAAAAAAAAAATCTTCACTTAGTCATACACACAGAATTCCTTTGGTCATGTAATATAAAGTGCCCACAGATACCAGGGGTTAGGATGTAGACGTTTATGCAGATGGGGGACCAGGGCTCCGTTCCTCTTTACCACGATTTAGCAAACGTGGATACAGTTTATCAAGGTCGTTCATTCATTCATTCATTACCATCCACTGTGTCATGGCCGCAGCACTGCTTTTGTGATTGGCTCTTTTCTAACAGCCCCTGGAGTAGGGAGAGATCATTTGCAGTGGTTATGAACTTTGGTTTCCTCTTCAGTGAAGGGGGTAGTATGGGGCCTGCTCAAGGGCACGTATCTGGAGCCTGGTTTAACTAGAACATCACACTCCACCACCTCCAGGTCTGAGGTCGTCCCTGGAGAATCCGTGTGCCCTGGGGTTCCCAGCCTGTTTTGTCCCCTTGCCCTGGGGACTCTCGGCCTCCTCCCTCATCGCCGCTTTTCTGTCCCAGATGAAGGAGGAACGCTTCCGGCAGCTGTTCTCCACCTTCGGCACGCTGACCGACTGCAGCCTCAAATTCACCAAAGACGGCAAGTTCCGCAAGTTTGGCTTCATCGGCTTCAAGTCCGAGGAAGAGGCCCAGACGGCCCTGAACCATTTCAACAAGAGCTTCATCGACACGTCCCGGATCACGGTGAGCCTGTGGGAGTCGCGCCCTCGCCCGCCGTGGGCAGTGTGGCTGCTCGGTCTTTCACCCAGCACCCAAGGCCTAGAACTGTCCCCCTTCACACTGGGGTGCATTTGGTCTGACTCTGGCTCCCGTGTGCACGTGTGCATGAGGATCGCCTGACACCTGGCAGAACACGTTCTTAGGCCTGTCCACAGAGTTCCTGATCCAGTGCGTGGAGGGGACCCAGGGACGTGCAGAGCTGACGGCTCCCGGGCCATCCTGTGCTGTGGGTCCCAGGACCGCACTTTGGGAACCCCGGGTCAGTACGGGTCATCCTCCCACCCCTGCAGCAACACACTGTGAGCTCCCACTCGGTGCTGGGGGTTAGAGCAAAACCAGGTGGCTGGCTCCCGTCCTCATGGAGCCGGTAAAGCAGGAGCCAGCAGGTGCACAGGCCACTTCCGGTCCATGTAGTCAGCTCTGTGGTGGTGCAAGCACGAGGGACCTGGGGAAAACAGAGGAGGCCGGGGAGGAGTCAGGAAAGCTTCCTGGAGGAGGAGGTCCCACTCTGGTCACTCTCGTGACTGACTTGGTAAAACGTCTCTAACACTTTGCTGAGAAGGAGCAGAACAGGTGACAGACAAGTATAAGCCACGTGATCCCTTTATACAGTGGGGTCCTCGATTTGTGGGTGTGTGATGGACATCAAGGGCTGTATGGGTGGCCTCTGCTCAGGAGATTCGGCATTACCGTCTCACCTCAAGGAACCATATCACACCTGACTCCCACATGGCCAACCGCAGTTCGAGTATCAGACAGACCACTGGCTTGAAACTCATGCCAGGCGCATGTGCGTGTGTGCCCAAGATCCTGGGGGGAGAATGGAGGCGAATGGATTGCAGCATGGCCATCTGGGGGGTGATTTTCTCACTTTCCCTCTCACTGTCTCTGTCTCTCTCTCTGGTGAGTGCACGTGCCCTAAGGGAAAAACCTTTAAAAAATAATAATAATACTTCCTTCCCTTTGGAGGCGTCAGTGCTCAGGGCATCATGGGCCCACGTGGCCGCCTGGTAAGTATTGGCGTAAAATATTTGATTTTTTTTTTTAATTTTTTTTTTTTAAAGGTTTTTGCTATTGGGTACATGCACTCAGCAGAAACACAGAGACAGACAGAGAGACAGAAAGAGAGAAATCACCTCCTGGGGGGATGGCCACGCCGCAGTCCCTTCTCCATTCTCCTCTCGGGATCTTGGGCACACACGCACACGCACCCAGCATGAGTTAAGCCACTGGGCCCGGGATTCGAACCACAGTTGACTTCATGGGAGTCCAGCGACATAGCCATTACGCTAACTGCTGGTCCTATGAATATTATTTTTTTTTAAATGAGGCTAAAAAAACCTTTCCTGTGCTTTTTCTCTGTTGTTTGAGTTTTGTGCCACGGGCACGTGGGATTGTTAGGGAAACAGCACTGACTGGAAAGGCCACACAGGAGGGGCATCACCGGGGGCAGCCCCTTCCCGGGACAGTGGCCGACTGAGCAGCGCCAGCCTTGGCTCTGTGGGGAGTGATTTCTGGGGCGGGTGCTCTCCCCATCTCATCTCAGAGAGTGTGTTGGAGGCTGGGAGGGACCTCAGCACCCCACCTTCTTCGTTGCCCTTGCTGGTCCCCCTGTTTCCCTAGGCCCTAGTGTTCTCCGAGCAGGCGAGCTCGCCCCACGGTTGTCTGTAATCCCAGCAGCCATCGTTCCTTGAGCCCCTGACTGGGCCCTTGGCCAGTTCCAGCCTCACGGCCCTGCCTCAGAGTGGACGGTCGAGAGCCCAGGCTCCTGAGTGCAGACGCCTCGGTTCCGGTCTTGGCTCCGTCACGGGGGCTGGGCAGAGCAGGGCAGTTATCCGCCTCTCTGGGCTCCAGCTCCTGATCCGAGAGGGGAGCGGGGAGTAGCTCCCACCCTCCACTGCGGAGGCTCAGCACCTCCCCACACACAGCACGCTGAGACAGTGCCGGCCGGGGTGTCTAGTGCGGTCCTCAGCTGGAACTGAGCTCACACTCACACCGGGCAGGTGTGCGTGCATGCCCAAGGCCCCGAGAGGAGACCGGAGAAGGGACTGCGGTGTGGCCACCCCCTGGGGGCTGATTCCTCACTGTCTCTCTGTCTCTGTCTCTCTGGCGAGAGCACGCGCCCTATAGCAAAAATCTCTGAAAAGAAAGCCCAAGCTCCTGGGTGCTGGAAGCTGGCTCCAACGCTGGGACGTCGCGGCTGGCATGGAAACCGCCCTCTCTCTCCCATGCAGGTGGAGTTCTGCAAGTCATTCGGGGACCCGACGAAGCCCCGAGCCTGGCGCAAACA